CAACCTACAGCATTAAACAAGCCACGGGAAATATATAAATTGTAACTACAGAGAATATTCTTTTGCATGAAGCAATGAGAACTGTGATACTTTGTCTCTATGTGTGTGTACCTACTGCTGGTTTTTTTTTTTTTTTTTTAAACATAAAACCCCTGAAAGCCATAGGTAGTGAGGTCCAACTGTTTATTCCCCTCCCTAATGGTAAACAGCATAAAGAAGTTTTCTCTTCATATGGGAGTATATTTACTTTGATATTTTCCCCATTCTGACATTTTACCAGCTGGCTAAAGACCAAATTGGTTTGCTCAGTGAGTCCTCAATGACAGGCAACAAATTCTTGGATTGCACTGTCTATAGTTATCCTTTTAATCTCTGTTGTGTTCAGTATCCAGTTTTATGGTGATGTATAGAAAAAAAAATCATTTTCTCTGGGCGATGTGGTAAAACTGTTGCTTTAAATTACTTACCAGCGGTTCTGTAGCCAAATAATTTAATTATGTGATCATAGTCTTATTGCAGCCTGTGCTATTGACTCTAAGAAGCAAGCATGGCTCTATTTGTTGTCCTTCAAAACAAGAACAGGTTTTCCTCTTGCCTTGCAAAATCTCAGCTAGGGTTTTACAGAACAAAATAATGAATGCTTCTGCTGCAGCATGTCACAGGGGAGGCTGGGACAATACTGAACTCATGCACACCGCTGATCCTTGCTTGCTGGGCAGCATGTACACCTGGATTTCTGACAGCTCTGTGGGTTCACTAGAGACCTCTGTCATTCTTTTCATCCTCTTGTAGGCAATGGTCGAGACAGTTAACAACCTCCTCCAGCCACAAGCCCTGAATGCGTGGAGAGACCTGACTACAAGTGATCAACTACGTGCAGCCACCATGTTGCTTGACACTGTGGAGGAAAGTGCTTTTGTGCTGGCTGATAACCTTTTGAAGACTGACATTGTCAGGGAGAACACAGACAATATTAGTAAGTAGTCTTTGTTGTGCAGAAGGTCCGGAGACCCTTGCGTAGCAGAAGAGGGAAAAAGAGAAAAGGATCTCAGCTGTCCCAGATATGAGTAATGCTTTATTTCAATGGAGATAAGTTGTTCTTTTTCTAAAATAACGAGAGTATGACCTGTCATTGCCTTAGAAGGGTTTAACATCATGTATGTTATATCTTCCTTAGGAAATTCCGATATTGGATATATTAGCCTGAGATCACCTAGAGTGAGGTCCATTTATTTTTTTAGAATTTTTGTGTATGTATGTATCTATGTACATATTGTACTATTTAAAATTGTATCCTCCTAAAACAGGGCTTATGGGTTATTTTAGTTATAATAGGAGTATCTTTGAATTACATACTGTAAAGAAATAAGTCATTTGAGTGAAGATAAAACAATATTTGATAATTGTGTTATTTGGCTCATAAAGACTATAAATCTGTTTTTATTGTGGGTTAGGATATAGTTGACAGTTTCATTTCAGAACATTTGATAAAGCTATCACAAATTTATTAGATTTAAAGCTAGATCAATATTTATATGATAATATGGCTCTAGATTATAAAAGAACTTTTACTTTATTCATAAAATAAAGATTATATTTTGAAAATTAAGTTAAGGCTAATGACTATGTATAAGGATTTGGGCTTGAATTTTAAATGTTGGGCTTTATTATTGATATAATTGTATTATTTACATGATTTTAATAGCTTTGATTTTCATTATTTTGAAAAAAATTAAAATACTAGCAATATACTTTCTTAAGATTGAACTACTATAAAGTGTGACAAATAAAACAAGAATTCCAATGTTTTGATTTTAGAAATACTTCTTTTTTTTTGCAAGGCAAGCGTGAAACAAACTTTATTGAGGAAGGACAAGACAGGTTCACAGAGCAAGAGCAAGATCTAGAAATACTTCTTGATTGTAGCCTTGGCATGTTTCTCGATGAGCACTGATATCTCTTTGCTATTAACAGAACTGGAAGTTGCAAGGCTGAGCACGGAAGGAAACTTAGAAGACCTGAAATTTCCAGAAAACATGGGCCATGGAAGCACTATCCAGCTTTCTGCAAATACTTTAAAGCAAAATGGCCGGAATGGTAGGTTAGAGTTTATTTTTTAACCTTGATGGAATTGAGCCTTCATCAATTTGTTGCTTCTTGGCTTGGAATTCTGGATCCATTATCTAAGAGCTCTTCCTCTCCTCCTCTCACTACACCATTCTCTTTCTCCTCTTCTTCCTCCTATTTCTTATCTACTACACGGTAGGTATTACAGTGTTATCTGTTCTACAAAATTCTAAATCAGATTTGGAAATTATTCCCTTACTTTTCAGCTGTCAGAAACTTGAATATGAGGGAAATTACGAACACCAAAATCCAGATGTTTGGACTTTTCTTCCTCAAAAGGAGTAATTCTCACTGAGTTTGCAGATTTTGCTTATACATTTTTTAATAGAAATTTTACTTACAATTTTAAATTACATGGTTTTTTTTTATTAAACTTCTTTCTGAGAGTGTTTCTGTGCTTTCTCTTTGCAAAGCATATATAAATTTAAGTGGAAGGAGATGCTTTGGGGGAATGAAACTGGTAAACATAAGTTGGCTTAACTTAGTTCTAGATTGAATACACTGAAAATAATTAAAATTCAATAAATAAATTATCTCATAGGGAAAGTAAGCTCCAAGATTCACTAATATTAAAATTTCAAAAACATAGTTTTTGCCAAGGAACTGAGATCTTTTTACCAGTTAGGAGATTAGGAGGATGACCTCAGATTGTAATAACCAACTCAAAGCTGATGTTTCATATTCCAGGATGAATAGTTTTGAAAAAAGATCCCTTCAAATAGTAGCAAGAAAAACTACTATTTTTTAGTACTACTATTTTTTAGCATGGCACCCTCTCCATCATTTGCTTCTTAGAATAAATCTACCTCTTTAGGGAGAGCTTTCCCCATCTCCTCTAAGGTAGACTACTCTTTCCCAATCATTCTTTTCCCATTAGCCATGCTTGTGCCAATGCTTCTTCATAGCATTAATGTACTTACTATTATAAGAAAGTATATTATTTTTCATCTGTCTGCTTATTGTCCAACTCTCCCTTGAGGCAGTAAGCTTCGTGAGAGCAGGGTCCTTATCTAAACTTGTTTACTGTTGTAACCCCAGTACTTGAAACAGTGCCGGGTACATCAACACACTCACTAAACACAAAGCTAATGAAGATCGAAATATGTTTATATTAGTCATGTGAAGTTGTAGGCTCATTTATTTTATTGCTTGCTAAATTAATGTATAGTTGGGTTTTTTTTAAGTTTAAACATTAGTTTTGGAGTGCAGAATTTGAAACAATTACCAGTGACCAAGTGCACTGTCGAAACAAGGCGGGGTGGCAACATGACACCATCCCATATGTGGAAATTAATATGAATTATCAGCCAATTACAAGCCAGTTAAAATAAAAGTTGTTAATATCAACAAGAAAAATGCATGGATATTCTTAAGTTTAATCCTCCAAAACTCAGCATTTTTATACTAAATATAAAAGGAAAGAACTAAAATTAAATTATATGTTATAGCAGATAAGAAGTATTCAGTGAATTGCTATGATTTGCCCAGTACTGTGTTAATACTTGCAGATTAGAGAAGAATGCCCTCTTTCTTTATGTAGCTCTCCTCGTGATCTCTTTGCTGGATTACTGAAAGGGTGATGGATTATCTCATAGAATCACTGAGAAGGCTGGATACTGAGGCCCCAAAAGCATACCAGAGCAAGGAGGCTGACAGCAGCCTGTACCGTTGCTGTGAAATGTCACTACTGTTACACGTGATCTCTGGATGCAGTGTCATCACTGCTGCTGCTGCTGTTGCTATAACACCTCCTGCTTCTGTGTGTCGCAAGTTTCTCACCTGAGGTCTGAGCCTACTGCATGTGACTGTCTGCATCTAGCTGAGGTGCCCAGAGAAGCCTCTGTGCAAGGCAAGCTTAGAAAGCAAATATACGTCCACTTTGTGTCTATAAATCCCTAAGAGTAGAGACTTTCCCGAACATGGGAACACAGTTTAGGTGTTGGACAGCACCCCCCTTCTCAAAAAAACATATTAAATTTTTTTTTGTCTGTCTTCCCACTTGACTCTTAGCTTTGTCTTTCTCCACTTGACTCTAACATTCAAAGATAGGTCACTGTCAGGCAGTGACCTTTAGAGAACATGATAATGGAGTTTTAAGACAAGTAAAGATTTTGAATCCTTGTTTGTTTTTTTTTTAATGCAGTTGAGATATAATTTACATACACTATATATACCTTCAGCATTTAACTTGAGGTGTTTGACAGTTGTACATATCTCTGTAATCATATAAAGTAAGAAAATAAATTTCTTCTATTACCCAGAATATTTCCTGGTGCCTTTTACCACCCTCTTCTCTCACCCCCTCTCCCCACCTAATGAAATTTTCTTCTCATTACTATTTCTATTGACAAATTTGCCTGTTGTTAGACTTCACATAACTGGAATCATACAGTATGATACTGGGAACCTGCAGCCTTCTGATTTCAAGATTCTTCTTTTTTAAGCACCAGAGGAGGCAAGAAAAGCTGCTTCTTTCTCTGCTGCACCCCTTTTATTAAAATGATTTGTTCTGCAAAATTTGGGTTCAGTCGAAAGGTCGCACTTAAGGACCTAGAAGGCCACATTTCACCTTTAAGGCCGCAGGTTCCCTACCCCTGGATCCTTTAACTCAGCAAAATATATTTGAGTTTCAGTCATGATGTTCCGGCTGTCAATAGTTTTTTCTTTATTGATGCATACTTTATTCTGTTATGTTAATATGCCATAATTTATTTATTCTCCTATAAATAATAATTGAGTTGTTTCCAGTTTGGGGTTAGTATGAATAAAGATGGTATAAACATTGTTCTACAAGTTGTTTTTTTCCTTGCGGATATATGTTTTCACTTACCTAGGAAGGGTGGATACGTGTTTAACTTTATAAGAAATTGCCGGCCGGGCGTGGTGGCTCACGCCTGTAATCCTAGCACTTTGGGAGGCCGAGGCGGGCGGATTGTTTGAGCTCAGGAGTTCGAGACCAGCCTGAGCAAGAGCAAGACCCCGTCTCTACTAAAAATAGAAAGAAATTAATCGGACAACTAAAAATGTATAGAAAAAAAAATTAGCCGGGCATGGTGGCGCATGCCTGTAGTCCCAGCTACTCGGGAGGCTGAGGCAGTAGGATCACTTGAGCCCAGGAGTTTGAGGTTGCTGTGAGCTAGGCTGATGCCATGGCACTCTAGCCCTGGCAACACAGTGAGACTCTGTCTCAAAAAAAAAAAAAAAGAAATTGGTAAACATTTTTCCAAAGGGTTAAACTATTTTACACTCCCACCAGCAGTGCACAAGATTTCCAGTTGTTCCACAGACTTATTGACATTAGTGTGGTCAGTCTTTTCATTTTCAGAGATACTAGAGAGTATGAAATGATATCTCAAAGTAGTTTTAATTTTCATTTCCCTAATTACTAATGATGCAGATCATTTTTCATGTGTTTATTGGCCTCTTATTTTTCTTTTTTCCTAAAGTGTGTGTTTATGTCTTTTGTCATTTTAAAGTCATTTTATTGTTGAGTAGCAGAAATGCTTTATATATTCACGAGTTCTATATTTATTTATATTTCCAGTCTGTAGTTTGCTTATTCATTTTCTTAATGATATATTTCAATAGAGATAAATTTTCAATTTTGATAAAATTCAGTTGACTATCTTACAGTTAATGTTTTTGGGGCCCTATCCAAAGCATCATTATCTTCCTCAAAGTTCAAAAATATTACCCTGTGTTTCGTTCTGGAAGCTTTATGGTTCTGGTTTTTATCTTTAGGTGTATGATATATCTTGAATTGAGTTTTGAGTATATAGTGAGATAGAGATTGACATTCAGTTTTTTTTAATACTGATAGGTAGTTGTTTCAGCGTAATTTGACTTTCCTTTCCTCATGAATGACATGGCACTTTGGTTGAAAGGAACACTTGATTTTTTGGGTGAATACATACTATGCAGGTTTGTTTACCATCTGACAACTAATTTAAGTAGAATGTGCAAACTAATCAGAGTGTGCGTCAATTTATAATTCCTGTTTGCTTTTATTTTAGGAGAAATCAGAGTGGCCTTTGTGCTCTATAACAATTTGGGTCCTTATCTGTCCACGGAGAATGCAAGTATGAAGTTGGGAACAGAAGCTATGTCCACGAATCATTCTGTTATCGTCAATTCCCCTGTGATTACAGCAGCAATAAATAAAGAGTTCAGTAATAAGGTGTATTTGGCTGATCCTGTGGTGTTTACTGTTAAACATATCAAGGTAAGACAATGGCGTATTACATTTAGTTGTTCACGTTATATATATTCCTTATAACATGAATATTAAGTATATTAATTTTCTTTTAATATTTTTTCTATGATTTGACATATAGCAATTCATTATCTATAAAATGTAGTGGTGATTTTTGTTCGAAGTGAGATTTGGAAGAGGAGAATGATTCTTGTATATGTATTAATAAATACTTATGGTAAAAACATTCATAGATCAATTTATAAATGCTTCTCCATAATTAAAAAGAGTTATTAGCACAAGGCTAGAAATCTAGACTTTTCTGCACTATAATAACCTTTCTATTATCTATATGTATTCTATAACATTACATTTTCTCCCTTAAATACACACAATAAAATTCATTTTTTCGAAAAAGGGATAGTGATACCTTAAATGAAACTGGACATGGTTTCTTTCGTATGTGATATTCCAAGCAATTATGTCTACACGAAGATATATTTTTGTGTACATACAAAAATTACAGTTGTATAATAAATTCAACAGAGATTTCTAAAGACCTCCTCTCAGAATTTAATTGTTTAGAGCAATTAACTTCTTTACTTAGCAATGCAGAGTAATCGACATAATTCTGAAACATTGATACTAGTATTTTTTTAACATTGATAATGAAAAAAAAAAACAGCGAACCCACCTCTAATCAGATGGAACAAATAACAACATATATTCAGTTTTGGTTAGAATTGATGAAGCTGACTTAATATAAAAACACTGGTAGACAACTCCCCAAAAATTGGAACAGAGTATTAGGTTGTGTTGGATGTAAAGAAAATGCCTACCTGATTTACACGATCATAAAGTAGTTATTGGCTTTATTGATTTTTTTTCCCCTGTAGCAGTCAGAGGAAAATTTCAACCCTAACTGTTCATTTTGGAGCTATTCCAAGCGTACAATGACAGGTTACTGGTCAACACAAGGCTGTCGGCTCCTGACAACAAACAAGACACATACTACATGCTCTTGTAACCATCTAACAAATTTTGCAGTGCTGATGGCACATGTGGAAGTTAAGGTAAGATATACACCATAAAATAAACTGCTTTAGCACACAATGAGGTTGCTAACTGTAAATAGTCCTAATTATAGTAGTGTGACTATGGGCCAATCCTACTTCAATGTTTTTCTACTTTCATGGTAATTCTATCGAGTTACTCTCTGGTGTTCAAGCCGTATCCTGCTGGATTGTTCAAAGAACTCGTTCTCTCTTTTCCTTCTATCCATATAGTTCATAAAATTGAAGTTTGCTTACTAAACTTCCCTTAGTCTCCCTTCTTTTATTTTGTATGAATAAATGTCGGACCGTAACCACATAAACAAGGTAAGATAGGACCCCAGGACCAAAGGCCAGTGGGGTTGGATTAGAAAGCTGAGATTGGGGAGATTGAAGACTGAAAAACTATGCATGAGATTAAATACTGCCAGACTGACTCTGGGAAAGCAACCCTTAAGCACAATACGCAGAGTGTGATAATGAAGAGGTTTGGCAAAGTCTAACATGATGGAATCCGTCTGCCCATTCAACAAGGCACCATTCTTGGGAAAAATCCTGGTGATAGGTAGTTTCTAAAGCCAGACATGTGGCTGCATCGATTTCTTCCCAGTGCAACTGGTTTTCCTATGTATGAGAGATGGAGAATAGGGATTTGCCAGGGAAGAGAAGGCTGACAGGGTTTCAGGATATCAACTCAGGCAGAAGAATGGTAAAGGCTAGAAATGCGCTACTGTCAGAATCTAGGAATTGTAGGCCAGGAAACTCAGACAAAAACACCAGCAGGTCAGTGCACCAGGTGTAGGTAAGACTAATGCTGAGATACTCAGTTTAAGGAAATGTACAGTGTTGAAAACTTTGGTATTTGTTCCAAGCAAGCTACTTAATGGCCAGGATGACTGAGAATGCTAATATCTTACTTCCGTCATTGTAGCAGGTCAAGAACTAGTGCTGACTCAGATTCATTGATTGGGTCCAACCAACAGTTATAGCTGGAGCAAAGCTAGATTATGTAAATTATATGGCATTAAAAATGGGCTGTTTTCTAAAGTTTCAAATAAGATATTCAATGAAAAGAACACAGTTTTTCTAAATGTTATAAAAATCATTAAATAAATAATTACATTTAAAATCTGAAAACATAACTTCACAAATTTCTTCAACTATCATTATAAATTAAACACAATTTAATTTACATATTATTTAAGATTATTTTAAGATTATTAATCTTGTATAATTTATACAAAATTATTTGTCTTCGGAACTAGCATTGGTATCTTACTTTGATACAGTAAAGCACTCATAGCTTCAATATTTTATACAAAAATTTTAGGCAAAATTTAGTTTTCATAGCACTTCAAGTTGTAATACCTCTGTCAGAATTATTTGGTGTATATTACATGTGGAAAGAAAATGAGTACTTAAAACCCAGGAATGGTTTTGGCAAAGACTGAGCATTCTTTCATACAATTAATGAAAATTTTTTATTATTTAAGTAATGTTGCTTAGCTTTCAGCTTTAGTAATTGGTAAATAGTATTTTCAAGGCAATTGTCTTTATAGGTACAATGAAATTTGAAATAACATGGATTTTTAACCATGCTGTTCAGTTCAGCATATATTTAAGTGTTAGTAGTATAAATAATAGGATTTTAACACTGCCTTCAAAAGCTTTATATATTTTTTAGATTTTTTACACAAATAGCTATGTGGTATAATGTAGTAATAAGAGTGAAATTTGCATAGGATACTGTGGGAAGATTGAATACGTAAAAGTCAGGAGGCATCTCAGAGGTGATGATTTGCAAGCTGTACAGTAAGCTTGCAAATTAATGAATTAGCCAGGCAATTGAATATTCCAATCAGAGACAACAGCATGAGCAAAAACATGAAGATATATATATCATGGTGTTTAGAGTATGGTATAAAGAGTTTAGGATTACTGTACAATACGCCTAGTGTTGAAGTCAAAATGAAATGTAGTGACAAATGCCTAAATTAACCATGTTATTGGGAAACAAGAATTGCAATTCAAGGCATACATGGTATGCCTAAAGAATAAAGAGGAGGTTGGAGGTTTTATAAAAAGGAGACATGTTACATATCATTTTTCCAGAAAGTTCGCTGTCACTAGAAAGTTTTGGGGAACCGGCAAGCTCTGATTGGTGAGTAACTGGCAGCAGGTAAAACTAGTCCTAGAGTTGGAACAGGTTGTGTCGTAGCTGTTAGGGGAATCTGCTTTCAGGTTACAACAGGCAGTTTCAGCAGCCAGACTTGCAGAGAGTTACATTCTTGGAGCAACGTCTTGTGCCCTAAGTGCTTTTTACCCCTGTCCTCTTGACTCTTGTTTTAGTTGGATATGACAAAAACGGCCTAATGTGCGTGATCAACTTTCACGTTAATTAGGAATTGGAAATGAACTGAAGAATTTAGTAGAGCTGTGGCCACTAAGGGCCTAACGTGGAAATTTAGAAGGCTCAACATTTGCATGTCCAGAGTGGAAGTCTGAATATCCCACATATCACATGTCCCCCATATCTAAATATTTTCAAGTAATAAATAAAACCAGCAAAAAAGGAAATATAATCTGACTTAACAAAGTATACCTTAATAATGACTGAGGACACAAAACCTAAATTTAGAATTCTTGAGTCTGCACCTATACGGGGCAGTGTGGGGAGAGCCTACCCCTGGATCCCATGAAGTGGGTTACCCCATCCGCTTCAGAAGTATAAGGCCCAGGTGACAGCTCTCTTCCCAGGGTCTCAGCATATGCTTGTGATATGAGTCATTGCTGTTATTCTGTGGGCAACTAAGAAATGATGGCTGTATCCCTAAACAATAGTGGCACCAGCTGCTTTGCATTTTAGGTAGATTATTTCCAATACTATGTGGATGATAGACATAAAAACTATCAGACTGGATGTAGTGTGACAGTTATTTCAATAAGTCAGGATAAAGGAAGTCTTGGGCCTAGTCAAAGGCTGTTGTGGTAGACATGAAGAGGATTTATATTAATTAATATCTAATAATTAATATTTCAGATATATTTGGGACATAAAAATCCCAAGGGCTTATTACCTTGATTATAGAGATTAACAAATGCATTAGTAACCCTGTTGTCAGTAAAAACAGAGAAAGTAATAATGTATAACGCATTTTAAAAAGCGAAAACTGTGATGAAGTTTTTAATCTACCTTATGTCATTGATCCAAATAATGTCATCCAAAATTTTCTTTGACTGAGATTTAGAGAGAGATGGAGCAGGTATCCTGGAGAGAGACCAAATTCACACCATGTTAGAAACTTAAGAGTAAAATGACCTAAGCCATGTCAGCACAGTTCAAGTTTTGGTCTTCAAAGGAGTACAAACTCTGTTTTTTGTCAGAGCACCACAAATTGATCTATCTTAGTTAGACTGGCTACATTAACAAATGATAGATTTAAATCTGAAGTGTGTTGCCGTTGGCTCTGGGATTCCACTTTTCAGCCAAGGTAATGAGCTCAAGCTCAGAAAAATGGATCAAATTTGTAGCAACGACAAAATATCATTTTATGCTCAGTTCATTGCCTAGCAGCCTCTCCCCAACCCATTTATATGAGCATCATGACTGTGACCGCTATTGAGTGTCAACAGAGATAAAATAAATGAAAATCAATCAGAATGTTCCTTTAGCAGTCAATCACACAGCAGGTGGTTCCTGGATTTCTTGTATCGCAAGCTCTTGGTGATTGCCTGAGTCGGTCACGTTTTGATCTCACAACATGATTTTGGCACATTAACGATCAACAAAAAACAGACAGCAAAGAGACCGATCATCCCTAGAGATCTAAAAAGAAACACACTAACCCAACTCATGTTAAACTAATTTCTACAACAGAACGCTACTTTATTCACGCACAGTGAGAAACACGGCAGCCAGTTGGAGTGGATATTTTTGTCTGCTAGTTATCGCTTTCTAACTGTATAGGAAACTTTATAAAGGAAACGGAATTATATTGGAGAATTTTGCTTGACAAGTTTGGAAAGAGAGCAAGAAGAGTTATCTGAGTAATCGTGATCATTACTGACATCAAGCTATGGTACCCTGATGCATCTGTCTCCACCCCAGGATGCTCCCAATGCACTGAATTGCTTTTATCTGCCATCTGTGTAATAATTTCTTCTGTTTAGTCAACACTTCCTTTATTTTCTTATCAACATTTTTGAGCAGCTAAGATAACCATCCTGAAGCTATTGACATGTCGCCTAATACACTGTAGGCTCTAGTTAAATGTAACATCCTCCTTCCTATTTGTCAGATTTATTACTAGAGTCCAGGGATTCCAATGGAAACTTCTCACCCTTAAACTTCTGAGAAAGAGGGATGGGGATGGGGAAGAAGGGCAGAGAAGAGAAGCTGCAGCTAGAATCACAATTTTGATAAATATTATAATCGAGGCCCACCCTGTGATTTAGGGACATAGACAAGGATCATCTATCTGAGCCGGGATTGCTCAGAGAGGATTTATCAAAGAAATGTTCTGCTCTGAGCATGAGTTAGAATGTATTTAATAAGGTAATGTGTGAAGAATTTGAGTTGGCCACATTCTTGCAACACTTTCTTTTCTGCACCTTGAGTACGAGACTCTCTTATTTTTTTCCATCCTCAGCAGTCGCTCTCCCCTCATTTCCGTGACCTCTCATTGTCACTCTGGCCCACAGTGTCATCCTGCATAGCTGTTCTTTCTCCCCAGGTGATCTCATATAGTCACGTGGCTCTAAACATCATCTCATGACTTCCACAGATTTCTATCTCCATTTTTTAACTGTAGACTCAGATTTAACCACGGACTTAGTATAACTACTTAGACTTATCTAATAATTGTCACAATTTCAGAACCACACTTTAGACATTCCTCTTTCTGAGTCTTCTCCAGCTTAGTAAGCATCTACTCTGTCCTTCCAGGTCCTCTGGCCCTAAACCATGCATTGCCTTTGATTTGTTTCTTTTCACTCATACTGTACTAAGTCCCACTATCTTG